TCTCCAGATGCATTTGAGATATCAAAAAAGTACTCCAGAGTGTTGTTCAGCATGGGGGTGAGTAGAAAATGAAGGCTAATCATCTTTTGGGTGTACTATTCCTTTAATGTCGTAGTTAAACAGCTGTTCCAACAGTTGCATTGCCGAATTCTTCCGAGTGGTACACGACTTTACACGAGTGAATAAGGTGAATGTGATTGGTTGTTTAGCAAGAAGGCGGGCTTGTTGTTTGTCTGTTTAAAACAGACAGTACCTGGGAAAGCGGGAGTGGTGGAGAATTTTGGGAGAGCTGTAGGTTCTGCTGCTGGTGTGAGTCTCCTGCATTTAGGATGAGAGGAACCATGTTGTCCTGGGCAGACTGGATCTCCATGGTTACTGTGGACTGAGAGGTGTTCACTCCTACTCAGTACACAAAGACAGCAAGAGGGGGAAGTCTTTAAAGCACACACATAAAACTGTCATCAAGCAGCATCCCTGGAGATTCTGTTTGAGCAAACCAGGATTCAGAACTAGATGCCAACTTTTAAATGGCAGGATAAGAAGAGTACCTTGTGTGGAAGCCAGAGCCTGTGTGCCGCTGGGAGAGCCAAACGAGGTGGCGGCTGCGTCGTCTGAGTCAAGTGGGATGGGCAGAGGAGGAGGAAACTGGATGTTGGTCAGATCCGGAAGAGAACCGCCACTGTTGTGGGCGACCGGTTTGTGTGAGGGTGTTAGCTGCTGGTCTGGAGTTGGGAATATGCTGCAAAACACAGACAGACATGGCCAATGAGTGAATTGGGCTGATAAAGTTGGCAAAATTACAAAGAATGCAAGTTTTTACTAATTACTCAGCTCAACTTCATTTCCAAGAAAAAAACTAACTTTACTCACTGGACTTCAATCATCTTTTGCCTTCACACTTACTTTACTTTGGCTTTTAAGTGATAAGAAATGTGATTTAATTTATTATTAAAAGGCTTTTGTCATGTGGTCGGAAATTTTTTCTTTTTCATATACTGATTTATGCCATTTACTCACTGAAAAACGTTTTCCACTCAGTCTGTTTCACCTGCAAGACCACACAATGCCTGAGTGAGGGTGTGATTCTTTCTCAAGGTTTATTCATAACATGTTACTGTTTCACCAAAGTTTCTATAATTTGTTTTGACTCAGACTACTTTTCCATTATTGTAAGTAAGGAGGAATGAACGCTGTCCAGATCAGAACAGGGCTGATTACCGTGCAGTTAGTATGATGAACTGTTCTTTCTTTGCAAAGATGAAATAATTTTAATTTTTTCCCATTAAATGAGGAGCTTGTTAAATTGTAGTTGTCCTTCATCTGACACAGCACATAAAATGTTGTTAAAACCCCACAGCTGAATAAAATCCTCCATGTTCTGTGTGGCTCTATGGAAGTGAAACTCCAGCCT